ACATGTTTAACTCAAAAGGAGAAGAGAGTCTGTTTTTAAATCACAGAATTCCAGCATTGGAAGGGACTTTAGAGGCCGTCTATTCATACCATAACCAAAAAAAATCCACTTTACAGAATTCTAACAAGTGATCAACCACCCTCTAATTGAAGATCTGTTCTGAGGGACAGACCCCCTCCCTCCTGAAGGAGCCCATCGAAGTCCACTTTTCAGGAGCTCTAATGGTCAGAGGTAAGCAGCTAGGTGGCGCCACAGTGGGTAGGGTGCTGGGCCTGGAGTCAGGAAGACTCAGTGTTCTGAGTACAAATCTGGCCTCAGACACTTAGTAGCTGCGTGACCCTGGGCAAGTCACTTAACCCTGTCTGCCTCAGTTTCCTCCTGTGTAAAATGAGCTGGAAAAGGAAATGGCGAACCACTCCAGTATCTCTGCCAAGGAAACCCCAAATGGGGTCACGAAGAGTCAGATATGCCTGAAAATAACTCAACAACAACAACAAAGATTGTTGGAGAATTTTTCCTGGAATCAAACCTGTATCTCCCTCTCTACAAGTTTCACCCTTTGTTCTTTGGGATCAAACCGAACAAGTCTAATCCTTCTTCAAATTATGGTCCTTCAAGTCTTACAGACAGTTATCATATCCTCCACCTAAGTCTTCTCTTTTCCAGGACAAACATCCCTAGTTTCTTCAACTAATCCTCATGTTTGGACAAGCTAGGTGGCATAGTAGGTAGAGTTCAAATCCAGCCTCCAGACACTTACTAACCGTGTGACCCTGGGCAAGTCACTTAACCTCCATCTGCCTCAGTTTCCCCCTTTGTAAAATTGAGATAATAATAGCACCAATCTCCCAGGGTTGTTGTGAGGATGAAATGAGATAATCATTGTAAAGTGCTTAGTGCAGTACCAGGTATAAAATAAGTAGTATATAAATGTTAGTGATGATGATGATGATGAAGATAAATGGATGATTATCAATCCTCTCACCATCTTGGTGGATCTCTATTGTCATATTTCAGTTTCTGAGTAGCCTCCCTAAAATGAGACATCCCAAAACAGAGTACTCTCAGAGTTAACCTGAATAGCGTGGCATACAGTGGGACTATCACCATCACCTCTCTTTTACAGATGTGAAACCTTTCCTAAAATGTACCCTAGGATATAGGGTTTACTGTTTTTGACTGTTAGATCACACTATTAATGCATGGTGAGCTTGCAGTCCGCTAAGACCTTTAGATCTTTTGCATAAGAACTGTTATCTAGCAATTTCCTTGCCATTTTTTACTCAGCAAGTTGATTTTCTGAACTCATATGTAGAACTTAATAGGATTGAATTTATTCCTTTAATATTTCTTATGAGATTTGGCCCTTTGTTTTGACTTGCTGCAATCTCTGTGTATGTTTTCCTTCAAAGGTAAGATCTCAGCATTGTTTTAACTGTGTATCTTACAAATATGTCTTCTAAATCACTGATTAAAAATGTCCACGTGGTACCTGGTCGGTGCTGGGTTAAGAAATACTGGGGGTTCTGTTTTTTAATTGATGTTCTGCTATTCTCTGAACAATGTCCCACATTTTCAAGCCTTTATAATTCCTCCGTCCCTTGGAATGCTCTCCTCCTGAGAGTGCCTTTTACAGATAAGGAAAGTGAGGCATAAAGAGGAAACAAAGTGATATACCAGGGTCATACACCTAGAGGGGAGCTTGGAATCTTAACTGTCCTAACTCTAGGTCTTACATTCTGTCCACTACTCCACACTGTCTCTCTAACAGTTAACAATTAGAATTTCCCCAAAGTTGAATGGGCAGCCCCAGTAGATGTGGGTTTGGCCCTTATGTCAAGCCAAGGTTGAATGAAAACTTGACAAGGATGTAGTAGAGAGGATTCTTGTTTATTGACAGGTTGGATTAGGCAGCATTTATGTAACACTGTAAGGTTTGCAAAGTGCTTCACAAATATTATCTAATCCAATCCTCACCACAATCCTAGGAGGCAAGGCTGTTATTATTCCCATTTTACAGATGAAGAAACTGAGGCAGACAAAAGTTAAGTGACTTACCCAGGATCACCCAGTTAGTACATATCTGAAGTGGGATTTGAACTCTGGTCTTCTAGACTCCAGGTCCACCACTTTGTCCATCATGCCATCTGGCTGTAGGAGGTGATATCTGAACTGTGGGGTACAGACTCACTTAGCGGGCAGGGTATGGAGGATGATCCATCAGAGGAGACAAACAAGAAGCAGTCAGAGAAGTAAAAAGAAAATCAGGAAAAAGCAGCAGAGCGAAAATTTAGGGAAGAGAATGATATGAAATGAGAGTTTCAGATGCTACAGATAGTTCGAACAGAATGGAGACCAAGAAAAGAGACAATGGTTTTACTAGTTAAGAGAGAGCAGTTTCAGTCAAGTCAAGGTGATGTGGCCAGTGACCGAGGGAAGGATTTTGGAGAAGACGGTGGCATTTAAGCTCATCCTTGAAAGAGAAATAGGCCTTTTTTTGAGTCTGTGGCTCTATTTCATCTAGGCTGGAAGTGCAGAGTCTGCTCACCGTCACTATCCCAGTATGGATCCCTGCAGAAACTTTAACTTGCTCTGTTTTTCTGAGTTGGGACCGTTTGTCTCCCCCTCCCCTTAGGCAGTTGAGTAGCCCTCAGCTCCTGGGCCTCCTCATACCTGCCTTTGTGCAGACACCCATTGGCTTCAGCCCCACTACAACTCAGAACTTCTAAACTCGAGTGATCCACTAACCTCAGCCTCCCCAGTACCAAGGATTATAGGTGTGCCCCTGTCACACCTGGCCAACGGCAGGATTTCAAACAAATATGGGTAATTCCCAGAGATGGACATTCCAGGCATAGTAGACATAAAAGCTAAAAAAAAGGGAAGTGTTCATAGAATAATGATCTAGTTTCACCTGAGCATGGAGTACATAAAAGAGATTGGTATCAGATAAAGCTGGAAAGTATAACTAGAACAGAGATTCTTCACAAAAAAAAACCTTTTATTTTTTCCTGAATTACATATAAAAATAATTTTTTAAGATTTGAGGTCCAAATTATATCCCTTTCTCCCTTTCCTCCCCCCTCCCTGAGAAGGTAAGCAATGTGATACAGGTTATACATGTACAATCATGTAAAACATTTCCATATTAGTCATTTTGTGGAAGAAAACAAGAAAGAAAGGAAGAAAGATAGAAGGAGAATGAATGAATGAATGCTTCAATCTGTATTCAGACTCCCTAGTTCTTTCTCTGGATATGGAGAGCATTTTTCATCATGAGTCCTTTGGAATTGTATTGGATCATTGTATTGCTGAGAATAGCTAAGTCAGTCATGGTTGACCGTTGCACAATGTTGCTGTTTCTGTGTACAATGTTCTTCTGGTTCTGCTCACTTTACTCTTTATTAGTTCATGTAAAGCCTTCCAGGTTTTTTTCTGAAATCATTGTGCTCGTCATTTCTATTTCATTATAATCCCATGCCACATCTTGTTCAGTCATTCCTGAATTATGGACGTCCCCTCGATTTCTAATTCTTAGCTCCCACAAAGAGCTGCTGTAAATGTTTTTGTACAATTAGGTTCTTTTCCCCTTTTTTGGATCTTTTTGGGATACAGAACTAGTAGTGGTATTGCTAGATCAAGGGTATGCACAATTTTATATCCCTTTAGGCATAGTTACAAATTGTTCTCCAGAATGTTTGGATCAGTTCACAACTCTACCAACAGTGCATTAGTGTCCCCAGTTTTCCTACATCCCCTCCAACATTTATCATTTTCCTCTTCTGTCATATTAGCCAATCTGATAGGTGTAAGATAGTACTTTAGACTTGTTTTAATTTGCATTTCTCTAATCAGTAATGATTTAGAGCAATTATTTATATGACCATAGATAGCTTTGATTTCTTTGTTAAAAGGTGTCTGTAGAATAGAGCTTCTTAACCTTTTTTTGTGTGTCAGACACATTTGACAGTCTGAAGAAAACTATAGACCCCTTCTCAGAGTTATGTTTTAAAATCCGTAAAACAGAAATTCATAGGATAAAAAGGAAACTATATTGAAATAAAGACAATTTTCCCATCCAAGTTCATGTATCCCCTGAAATCCACAGATGGTTTGGGGGCCTACGGACCCCACGTTAAGAACCCTTGAGCAATGGCCATATTGCAAAGCGCCCTGAATACCAAACTAGAGTTTGGACTTTATCTACTAGGTGACTGTTGTAAGAGACTATTTTAATTAACAAAATATATCTGCCCTTTTGCAAAGCCCAGTCTTTACTATTCAACTTTTTCACTCAGTGACTTCAATTATTTCTCCTGGCTTGATTTAGTTAACTGGCATTTAAAAAGTTCTTCTCTGTTTGGTTCCCTCAATATCCTTGTTTATTATATTCAGATGGTATTTGAATGTTGCCTAATTTGGAAATATTAATAACACAAGTAATGAAGGCACAGGTGTTAATCTTTGTCATATTTTTTCTTGGATTGGATATGAGAGGCCCAAGTGCTCTTCACTCTTATAAAACAATAAACCGGGGTTATCGTCTTTACTATATCAATAGCTCTTTTCTTTCACACTGTTCCCAAAGAGAATCCCAGCGCTAATTCTTGGCAGGGCTTTGGCTAACCTTCATAGGTTAACATAACCTTCTGTTCCTTGAACAAAACCCTCCATCTTCTGCCTTCTGGCATTTTCTCTGGCTATCCCCCATGTCTGAAATGCCCTCCCTCCTCATCTCTGCCTCCCTGCTACAGGAAGCCTTTCCCAACCCCCCTTAATGCTCACTAGTTCTTCCCCTCTATTAATTATCTCCAATTTAGTTTGTATATGCTATTTATATGATGTCACCCTCATTAGATTGTGATTTTTTGGAAAACAAGGACTATTTTTGCCTTTCTTTGTATCGCCAGCACCAAGCACAGTGTTTGGCACTACTAGGTGCTTAATGTTAATTGACTAACAGTTATAACAATCTAATTTTTCCCCTTTTCCATTTGCAGCTGAACCTCTAACACCAGGATGGGGAAACAGAACAGCAAACTTCGCCCAGAGGTGATGCAGGATTTGCTAGAAAGCACAGACTTTACTGAGCATGAGATCCAGGAATGGTATAAAGGCTTCTTGAGAGACTGCCCAAGTGGTCATTTATCCATGGAGGAATTTAAGAAAATATATGGGAACTTTTTTCCTTATGGGGACGCTTCCAAATTTGCAGAGCATGTTTTCCGCACTTTTGATGCAAATGGAGATGGAACAATAGATTTTAGAGAATTCATTATTGCCCTAAGTGTAACATCGAGAGGGAAACTGGAGCAGAAGCTGAAATGGGCCTTTAGCATGTATGACCTGGATGGCAATGGGTACATCAGCAAGGCTGAAATGCTGGAGATTGTTCAGGTAGGTCTTGTCCATTTGCTTTCCTGAATTCTTGAGCTCAGGTAACATCAGGAGAACCAAAACCGAATTCATGCCCCAGATCAGAGGCAGAGCGAAGTAGTGAATTGTGCTCTGGACTTGGAATCAGGAAGACCTGGGTTCAAACCCTGCCTCAGACACTTACCTAGCTGTGTGACCCTGTGCGAGTCACTTGAACCAATCTGAGACTCAGTTTTCTCATTTACAAAATGAGAAGGTTGAATTCAATAACCTTTAATATTCCTTCTGGTTTTATACTCCAAAGAGGAAGAAAAACTATGAAGGTTTTTGAGGAAGATCCTTTCATTTTCAGGAAGCTGTGTTTAAGGGATGGGAGAAGGGAGTAGCAGAGGAGACAGAGATATGCTTATTATAAAATGCTTAAGGAAGCCAAATTCCTTTCCCAAGCATCTGGGAACCCTAGCAAACACCAGAAAGGGAGGCAGTGGCAATCAGCTTGTAAAGCATCCCAGTCTAGTAAGAGATCTAGGAACATCACAAAGGTCTAGAGAGGAAAGAGTATGCAAGAGAGGGTAGTCAACGAGCTAAATATAGCAGAGATGTTGAGAAGGAAGGGGGCAAAGAAAAGAAAATTAGTTCTGGCAACCTAGAGATCACAGACAACTTTGGAAAGTGCAGCTTGAGTATTAAGGTCAGAAGCCAGACTGTGAAAGATCATGGGATCATGGAATTAGAGCTGGAAGGGACCTTAAAGGACAATTGAGTCCAAATTGTGGGCAAGAATACTTTAGAAGAGATGGGGTAGCCTTCATAGTCAATAAAAGAGTGAGAAAAGCAGTACTGGGGTATAATCTAGAAAAAAGCAGAATGATATCTGTTTGAATCCAAGGCAAACCATTCAACCATTGATGCCAACGAGGCTAAAATTGATCAGTTCTATAAAGGCCTACAACATCTTCCAGAAATAACACCCCCCCAAAAATGGCACATTCATCATAGAAGATTCTATTGTTCTCCTGTTCTCCTGGTTCTGCTCATTTCATTCAGCATCAGTTCATATAAGTCTTTCCAGGTTTTTCTGAAGTCTGCCTGCTCATCATTTCTTATAGCACAATAGTATTCCATTACACTCATATACCACAGCTTGTTCAGCCATTCCCCAGTTGATGGTCATCCCCTCAGTTTCCAATTCTTTGCCACCACAAAAAGAGCTGCTATAAATATTTTTTACATGTGGGTCCTTTTCCTGTTTTTATAATCTCTTTGGTATACAGACCTAGAAGTGGTTTTGCTGAGTCAAAGTGTATGCATAATTTTATAGCCCTTTGGGCATAGTTCCAAATTGCTCTCCAGAATAGTTGGATCAGTTCACAAGTCCACCAACAATGCATTAGTGTTCCAATTTTCCAACATCTTCTCCAACATTTATCATTGTCCAGTTTTGTCATATTAGCCAATTTGATAGGTGTGATGTGGTACCTCAGAATCAATCTGATTTGCATTTGTCTAATCAGTAGTAATTTAGAGCATTTTTCATATGTTTATAGATGGCTTTAATTTCTTCATCTGAAAACTGCCTGTTCACATCCTTTGATCATTTATCAATTGGGGAATGACTTGTATTCTTATAAATTTGATTCACTTCTCTATATATTTTAGAAATGAGGCTTTTATGAGAGACACTGGCTGTAAAAATTGTTTCCCGGCTTTCTGCTTCCTTTGTTTGTGCAAAAACTTTTCAATTTAATGTAATCAAAATTGTCCATTTTGTATTCCATACTGTTCTCTATCTCTTGTTTGGTCATAAATTCTTCCCTTCTCTATAGATCTGATAGGTAAATTATTCCTTGCTTATAGTATCAGTCTTTATATATAAATCATGTACTCATTTTGACTTTATCTTGGTGTATGGTGTAAGATGTTGGTCTATGCCTAGTTTCTGCCTTACTATTAATCCAGTTTTCCCAGCAGTTTTTGTTGAATAGTGAGTTCTTATCCCAGAAGCTGGATTCTTTGGATTTACCAAATAGTAGATAACTATAGTCATTGAGTGTTGTATCTTGCATACCTAACCTATTCCACTGATTTACCACTCTATTTCTTAGCCAGTGCCAAGTAGTTTTGATGATTGCTGCTGTATAATACAATTTAAAATTTGGTACAGCTAGGCCACCTTCCCTTACTTTTCTTTTCATTAGTTCCTTTGATATTCTGGACCTTTTTTTCTTCCAGATAAATTTTGTTATTGTTTTTTCTAGTTCTATAAAATAATTTTTGGTAGTTTGGTGTGGCAGTGTAATAAGTAAATTAATTTAGGTAGAATTATCATTTTTATTATATTAGCTTGGCCTACCCATGAGGAATGATATTTTTCCAATTATTTAGATCTGACTTTATTTGTGTGAAAAGTGTTTTGTAATTGTGTTCATACAGTTCCTGAGTTTGTTTTGGCAGGTAAACTCTCAAATGTTTTATAATATCTACAGTAACTTTAAATGGAATTTCTCTTCCTATTTCTTGCTGTTGGGCTTTGTTAGTAATACATAGAAATGCCAATGATTTATGTGGGTTTGTTTTATATCCTGCAACTTTGCTAAATTTGTTTATTGTTTCAAGTAATTTTTTACTTGATTCTCTAGGATTCTCTAAGCATACCATCATATCATCTGCAAAGAGCGATAGCTTTGTTTCTTCTTTGCCTATTCTAATTCCTTCCATTTCTTTTTTTCTCTTATTGCTAAAGCTAACATTTGTAGTACAATATTGAATAACAGTGGTGATAATGGACATCCTTATTTCACCCTGATCTTATTGGAAATGCTTCTAACTTACACCAGGAGAACATTGTACACAGTAACAGCAACATTGTGGGATGATCAGCTATGTCTGACTTAGATCTTCTCAGCAATACAATGATCCAAGACAATTCCAAAAGATCCATGATGGACAATACTATCCACATCCAGAGAAAGAACTGATGGAGTCTGAATGCATATAGAAGTATACTATTCTTAATTTATTTTTTGTGGTTTTTATTCCTTTTAAGCAAACCGTAATTTTTTTGCAAACTATTTCTTTTTTTATAACATTACTAATACGGAAATAGGTTTTACCTGATTAAACATATATCATCTATATCAAAATACTTATTGTCTTAGGGAGGGGGAGGAAAAGGAGGAAGAGAGAAAATTTGGAACTCCAAATTTTATCAAAAATGCATGTTAAAATTGTCTTTACATATAATTGGAAAAATACTATTAGAAATGCTTTTTTAAAAAAAAGAAAAATAGAAGTAGAATAGAGGGGAAGAGATGGGACAGGGAGGGAAAAAAGATTAGAGAAAATTATTCCACATAATCAGAGCACACATATAGAAGTCTATACAAACAAGGCGGAAAAAGTGTGTGGAGGGGAATGGGTGACACTTGAATCTCACTTTCACTTGAAATGGTCAAAAGAGGGAACAACACACACACACATATACACATACACACACAGAGTTGAATATAGAAGTACATTTCACTAAGTGGGGAAATAGGAGGGAAAGAGAGAAAGGACAGGGGAAATAAGAAAGAGTGTAGATTAAGGGAGAGATTGTTCAGTCATTTCAGTCATGTCTTACTCCTTGTGACCCCATTTGGGGTTTTCTTGGCAGAGACACTAGAGTGTTTTGCTATTTCCTTCTTCAGCTTATTTTACAGATGAGGCAACTGAGGCAAATAGAGTTAAGTGACTTGCCTAAGATCACATAGCTAGTAAGTGTCTGAGGCCAGATTTGAACTCAGAAAGATGAGTCCTCTTGACTCCAAATCCAGTGTCTATCCCTAACAGCGTATTCAGTAGTGCTCTTGTATTTGACCAGATGATTCCTCACGTCCCCTGATGACCAGTGACACACATCTGTTAAACAGGTGACCAGGGATTAAGAAAGCAGTCAGCAGCAGCAATGCGATGAGGTGTGTTCTCTCTCTCTTTCTGACTAGGACAAGGCAAGAGACTGGTGCTTAATTCCAAAGGACGCTAAGGTAGAAGTGTGGCTCTTGATTTGTTGTTTTTCAGAACTATTAGACGTTCTAATCTAACAGGAGCCCGTAAGAGCCAACGTCTTTGTCGTGACGCCAATTTAATTCACTCATCAGGAAAAAGAAACGAGAATAACACACTACCACCATTCAGAGAGTAATGAGTCAGTAGTGCAGAGAAACTTCTAGGTCCCTATTTTAACAGGTTCTGGCAGAAATTCCTGTCCAAACCAGTTGGTACAGTTGGTGTTCCTAAAGCTAAAGCTGTGGGTTGGCTCCCTTGATGAGGTGGTTAACAACATGTTGCTGGGACTCCTGTTAGCCAGAAACAAGACTGTGCTCTGTCACTGAGCTCCCCTGTCCTAACAGGTGCAAAAAAAAAAATTGGCAATGCATCTGAAATTGGGTGACCCCTGGTGAGATAGGCAGAGGCCAGACAGACGATAGGAGCGAGTAAAACCCTAACTCTGATGGAAAAGAAGGTGAATGGCATGTAGTAAGTTTTTAAGAAGTGCGCAATGAGTTGAATCTCATTGAATTGGATTAAAATAAATTAAAAGTGCTTTGTAAACTGCTAGGCCCATGCAGATACAAAGTATTGTGTGTGTGTCCCCTCCTTCCTCCCCCACTCTTATTGTGATCAGCTTGGCTTCCTTCAAAGAGAAAGAAAGCTGGGTTTTGACTCTTAACTTGGGCTGTTTTATTTCATCAGTTGTGAACCATGTTCGTGTTGATTTGGCCTGGAATGTCTTTTATGCTGAGTTTCAGGAGCCTGTTGCTTCAGGGGGGAAAAGAAATGGAAAACACACAGAAAGGAAGAACTACTGAAGGACAGGGTACACACACATGTGTAGATTCACTTCCACATGCTTGGAGACCCTGCCTAGACCCAGCTGGGCAGGGATGGGCTAAACTGATCCGGGGCTGACCCCTTGCTGCTCCATAGTGCTTTATTCACTCAGAGACAAGAAAAGGACATTTCAAGCTTAATTAAAAACA